CAAATAAACCTCTTTTCTTTATAAATTAGCCAGTCTCAGGTATTTCTGTTATAGCAACACAAAACGGACTAAAACAGCAGGAATAGGAACTGTTCTGAATACCACCTGTGACCTCCCCATAGGAGAAAGGGTAGACCTTGCTATATGACAGCACACTATGAAAACCAGTCTCAGTCCAATCTTGTAAACTAAAACAGCATGATTGACTTTGTCCCAAATTGACATGAAACCCAGGAATAACCAAATCATCCTAAAAATTGTAACAATGCCTGTCTATGATAATTAACTTGTGTATGGGCAAGGACCATTTCTGTTGGGAAGGCATAGCAAAACTTAAGTAGTTCTTACTGATTTCTTGTATAAATGAAACGGAATTGTACCATGAGCATACTGCTATATGATGTAACACTGGCATAGCTGATAAGATTCAACTACCTTAAGTCATGGGATATTAATGACACTGATGATTGACTGTATTGGAGGATCGAATTAAAGCCTCCTCAAGATGTATTACCAATAGAAAATGATAAGCCTCAGGAAAAACTGGATTTGGTTAACCATCAGCTAATTTCTATGCTAATTATGTACATTTTTATTGTAAAGTTAAAATGGTAGATGAAGGAGGAAAACAAGTAACAAATTAATGCAAAAATATGAAAATGTATGTAATGGCTTTATAATGTAGATGTTTTCAAAAGACTATCTCTATCCCACAACAGCTTCTCCAAATGTGTTTGTGCATAGTGCACTGTGGCATGTAGAACATGCTATTGCTATATTTTTTCTCTTATAACTAGGGACATTTCTTCATGCCAATTCTGTTTCTATATCTGTTACATAAGTGCCATACTAAATATAGGTGCTAAGAAATATAAGATTGTTTTGCTGCTAAAAGAGCCTAGGCCAAGGACCATGAGGGTGGACTATGTAATAAAGAGTTAACTCAGAAGATTTGGGGTTTCCCAAACCCTACACATTTAAAACATCTTCAGAATTGTCTCCTGATCAATGCTGGCAGATAATCCCTGAGCTCTTAAAATGTTTTACCTGATAAAATGTCTTGGTATACCTGAGACTTAGCTCATGCCAGATAATTTATGCTACCAATGTGATTTATGGTATCGGTTTTTGTTATGAGTGGGGCTTCAGGCCAAGCTGTATTGGTCTGACCTCTGGGGGGTGGGGGATGAAGATTGAGTACCATGAGTGCTTCATGCCTATGTGACTGACTCCTTATGAAAACCCTGGATACCAAAGGTCGGGTAATCTTCCTTGGTTGGCAATATTTTGCACGCATTGTCATGCCTTGTGGCTGGAAGAATTAGGCTCTATCCATCATAAAGTTTATTTTAAAAGATCTGTCAACCATCAACTTGATTCACACCCCCATCGCTGCTTTTGTAAATAAAAAAATTGAAAATCACTTTGATTTCCAAAAGATTTGTTATGCCAAGTCTAGGATTACTCACTTTCTGAACATCAGAACCAATATTTCAATTGTTTAGTCATTGGCACCTGGAGGTTTTTATCACCCAGGGCAATCCATGATTGTCAAGTAAACGGTGGAGGAGAGGTAAGTTTTCTTTTCAGAGAGGGAGAAGGGAAATTGTGAAATTGGAGGTTGAAAAGAGCCTGTTAAGAATGTTCCAAAGCATCATAAAAAAATTGAAAGTTGGGGCCGGCCCCGTGGCTCACTCAGGAGAGTGCGGTGCTGGTAGCACCAAGACTGCAGGTTTGGATCCTATATAGGGTTGGCCGGTGCGCCCACTGGCTGAGCGTGGTGCAGACAACACCTAGCCAAGGGTTACAATCCCCTTACCGGTCAAAAAAAAAAAAAAAAATTGAAAGTTGAGGGTCTGAAAATTGATTCCTTTAAACTATCAGTGTGCATACTTTGGAAAGTATTTTTTGTAATCAGTGTCATGGTTTGAAGAGTACTGCTTTATATTGTATAAACTTCTCATATTGAGATAATTGTACGAACAATTTGTTCTCAATTTTTTATTGAGCATCTGCCATGTGCCAGGCACTAGTCTAGCAACTTGGGACACAGTCATGAACAAGACCATTTTATTAGGCTATATGTACATTATAGTGGGGGTGACAGGCCATAAATAAGTAAATAATTTAGAAGGAGAGCAAATATATAAAGTAATTTCAAAGATTTTAAACGATAAGGGAGAAAATAATGCAGAGTGGAGAGTTCTCTGCTTGGTCAAGGATTGTCTCTAAGGAGATGACATTTGAAGCAAAGATGTGAAAAAAGAGTACTCTAGACTGAAGCAGGCTGGTGGTTTAGGGACATTTTTTTTTGTGGCTTTTTTGTGACTGGTAAGGGGATTGCAACCCTTGGTGGGGGGTCGCCCGCACTGCGCTCAGCCAGTGAGTGCACCAGCCATTCCTATATAGGATCCGAACCCCCGGCGGGAGTGCTGCTGCGCTCCCAGCGCTGCACTCTCCCGAGTGCGCCACGGGGTCGGCCCTTAGGGACATCGGTATGGTCAAAGAAAGCTTCTGTGAAGAGCTGATATATAACCTGTGTGAAAAGGTGTAGCTGAGAAAAGAAATGGAAAAAGAGCTTTTTAGACAAAAGTATACTAGAGAGAGGGTGATCAACTCGTCCCAGTTTTCTCAGGACTTTCTCAATTGTAGCACTCTATTTTCCATATTCTGGGAAGTCCCTCAGTCCCAAGCAAATGAAAATGTTGTTTACCCTGACTGGAGGTCTAAGACCTATTAGAGTATGAGGTTTACTGAAAGGTCAGTGGTCTGATGGACAATATCCAAACTACAGCCATGGTTGCTGGCAGCTTGGCCTAGACCACATAAAAAGATTTAGAGAAATAAACATTTATTCTGAGAAATCCAATCATCTGTTACTGTGGCTTTCAGTTGCACTTCCGCCTCAGCACAATTCATTAATAACTAATCAATTTTATAGTTAATAACTGCGCCTCTGTAGTATCAGAGAGGAAACTTGTTGACCTATCTGTTGCCATATAAACAGCACCACATGCATACAGACACACAAAACATAGATACCTGTATACAACCAGCATTCGTGGACAAAATGGAGACTTGGTGAGGCTGCTATGAGACCACTATAGTTGGAAGCTGAGCTTTTAAGTGGGAAGACCATTGGAAAGTTAAGCAGAATTTGTGATGCAGTTTTTAGTTTAATGTGATTGACTCATACCTGTATACAACCAGCATTCGTGGACAAAATGGAGACTTGGTGAGGCTGCTATGAGACCACCATAGTTGGAAGCTGAGCTTTTAAGTGGGAAGACCATTGGAAAGTTAAGCAGAATTTGTGATGCAGTTTTTAGTTTAATGTGATTGACTCACAAGGCAAGTCCCACTTTTAATTCTATCCAGTTAGATCAGTGCTTGTGCTGGATGAAAGAGTTAGTTTCTAACTCTAACTGGTTTAGTTACTAGCTAGAGCCTTAGACAAAATTTGACATCATGATGCAGAAAGGGATTTAGGATCAGAACTTATGATAAAGGATATGGGGCAGGAAAGGGATCACTAATCTGGAACTTTCTCTCATGTCCCTTTATATGTTTTTCTGTATATGATAGGAGCAGGTGAGGCACTACTAAAGTCAAAATCCTTGTCTCAATCGTAATAGCAGTCCAACAGTGGTCTTCATTTTTGGTGGGGAAGGGGGGGTAATGGAAAAATACATAGACACACAAGTTGACTTGAGATCAAAATTAGTCCATATATTTTAATGTATCAGAGGAAGACAAAGAATTTAAGCATGCTAAAGAGTATCCCTGTATCTTCTATACACTTCCTTCTACATATTTCTAATTGCAAGGTAACTGTCTTGGCAGTAGCGGTTATGTTCATCCCCAGGGTCATCCAATCTCCAAAGGAATTGTCCTGGTGAAATTAGTTCAGTAGAATTAGCTACATGGATATTATTTTCAGCAATATTTCAAGTTGTCTCATACCCAGAAGGAAATGTTAATTAACTGTAACAGTACCCACCCCAGAAGGTGATGGCATGGACTGGGGAGAAGTTATCTCAGAAGTACTCTCAGGAGAAATGATCTCAGTTCCTGTGGTTTCAGGCAAGTTAAATGTTACCATATCGTCAGGCCTAGATATTGGGGAACCAGTAAAAGTATCTTCATCACTGTAACCAAATGTTATATCCTCTTGTAAGAGCCAGGGAAGTATTGGCCTTCGAGTGAAGTCGTGTGATATTTCTATGGGAATGCAGCACGATAGCTTGTTCCTGCAAAGAAGTATGTACCTCTCGTTATCTAAACATCGACTTCTGCAGCGTCCGATATCATTCTTCCAGCATTTTGTGGTTTCAAAACTAGCTGCAGGGAATAAAAAGTACATCAAAATTTTAACTCTAGCATCAACATAACAATTTTTCATTCATTTGAACATTCACAGCTACTGCCTCTGCCATGTAAACTAACATGATGACAAATACTATAAGCCATTGAGAGAAATGAGACAAAAAAATGTATATTAAAATTACGCATGTGCCATCAAAGAAATTTGGATGGAGGAAATAGAGGGAAAAGGTGGGGGAGGGAAGGAAGGAGGAAGAAAGAGGAAAAGAAAAAAAGAAAGAAAGAAAGAAAAAGAAAGAGGGCAGACATATTTAGAGCTGATAGTCAAGCCTAGACAAGAAGGATGAAATCGAGCCAGTAAGGCACAGAAGAGGCAAAGACTGTTTCAGGAAAGCAGAAGCAGATGCTCAGTCTCACTATTTAGGAAACTGCATAGAATATTTAAGGGTCCTGAAGAAGTCTGACTGTTGTGAAGTGGAATGTGCAAAGAGCAACTGGAAGTAGTAGAGGCAGATTTCCCCATCCCTTTAGGTGAGATTAAATGTTTCTATTTATTTTTTTCAGAACATAATGTGAGCTCATTGACTTGCCTATGTTTTAGGTTAGTCTGGATTTCAAGTGGAGGTTAGATTAGGGACAAGAAGGAACGGAATCAGAGAGACGTGCTAGAGAGATTTTTTCTAAGTAAGATGTACAAATGGCTGAAACAGGGGTTGTGAGTTATTATAGAGAGAATAGGACAAATTAAGACATTATTGACTCTTTGGATAGAAGGTTAGGGGAATAGAGAAATCAAAATGAATTTCTAGATTTCTGAATTGAGGTAGAGGTGATTAGAAATACTTGCCACTTACAGAATAGCAAAAACTGAGGAAAGAACAAGATGTGGGGGAAGCGGAAAAGGTGGGCTCAAGTATTTTCTGTGGGGCATATAACATATGATATTCCTGAGATGTCGAGAAGGCAGCTGGATATATCTGTGGGAGCACGGAAGAGAGGTCTCAACTCTAGATGTCAATTTGGAATCATTGATTATAGATAGTATTTAAAGCCACAGAAATGGATACACCATAGAGGGTCAGAATAATATGAGAAAAAAGAGGGAGAGAATGAAATTCTGGTGAGTTTCAAGATTAAGAGATCAGACAGAAGGGAAAGACTTGAAAGGAACAAGCAGATAAGTCAGAACAAAACAGGAGAATGAGACACTAGAGTCTTAGTTTGGATTCTTCCAAACGCAGACCATGAGCAAAGATTTGAATATAATAGTTAAGATACAATTCCCCCTCAAAAAATCAGTGGGGAAATGGGAAAGTCAGGAAAGCAAGAAATCTAGGAGAAGGTGAATTATCAAGCTAGTTACCACTGCGGTTGACCAGAGCACAATCCCATGGGGAAATCTAGCAGCCAGCCTATTAAACAAGCCCCCAAGTTATCCTACTTGAAGGTCAAAGCAACTGAAGTATTTATCCACCATCTTGCTAGCCCATAGCTGATAGATGATTCCAGAGTGAGCTGATAATTTCCTAACATTTTTGGATTGCCCTACGCAGGGGTATTTTACAAGAACTCAGCAAAGTACTGGGGTTACTGACAGTTGTAGGTCAGGCTGGTGTGCATGAAAATGGAAAATGCAAAAAGGATATAGGGAAAATTGTATCAGATATAACTAAACAAGAGAGGAGAATTTTTCTTAAAGGGAGGAGTGGCCATTTGTGATCAAATACTTGTACTGCTGAGAGGCTGAGAAAGATGAAGGCAGAAATGTACCCATTGTGTTTAGCAGTATGAAGGTCACTGGTAACCCTGAGGAGAGCAGTTTCAGAGTGATGTAAAGAAAAGAAATTAAAATGAAGTTGATTGGAATGTGAATGAGAGAGAAGAGGATGTAGCCCCTGTAGACAAAAATCTTAAGAAATTTAGCTGTGAGGAGAAATAGAGGTCTTATTGAAGGGCAATATAGGGTCAAGGGAGGGATTTCTGGCTTTGTTTTGAAGATCAAGAAATACAGAGCATGTTTACAAGAAATTAAGAAGAAACAAGCAAAAGGGAGAAATTAATAATGAATAGAATAAGATGACAGAAAGGTGCAATCCTTGATAAGGTGACAGGGAACAAATTTACATAGGGCAGACTGACTTTTAGATGGACAAGACACATTTCCTAATTTATGGCTAGAGGGACAGAGGAGATGGGTACAAAAGCATACTGGTATGGATGTCAGCACTGGTAAAGTAAAAAAGTTCTTATTTGAATTTTTTAAATCAATCAAGTCATAAGCCAAGAGGGAGAGCCATGTAGAGGAAAAGAGCTGGAGAATTAAAGACAAAGAAAGGTCAGTATAAAATAGTTGTCTATCTGGCTATAATGAAAAAGACTGTGAATAACAAATGCTGGGGAGGGTGTGGAGAGAAGGGAACACTCCTACACTGTTGGTGGGACTGTAAATTGGTACAACCACTATGTAAAAGAGTAAGGAGGTTTCTCAAAAATCTACAGATAGATCTTCCATACAATCCAGCAATCCCATTTCTGGGTATATACCCAGAGGAATGGAAATCATCATGTTGAAGGGATACCTGCACTTCCATGTTCATCGCAGCTCTGCTTACAATAGCCAAGATATGGAACCAACCTAAATGTCCATCGATGGATGATTGGATATGGAAACTGTGGTATATATGCACCATGGAATACTACTGTTCTGCTTACAATAGCCAAGATATGGAACCAACCTAAATGTCCATCGATGGATGATTGGATAGGAAACTGTGGTATATATGCACCATGGAATACTACTGTGCCATAAAAAATAATGAAATTCTCCCATTTGAAACAACATGGATGAGCCTGGAG